AATATATGTAGATACTCCCCATTCCGGGAGGCAAAGCTTAATCCCCCCCCCCCACCCCTTGAGTGTGGGCTAGTCTTAGGGACTCAGTTCTAAAGAACAGAGTGTAGAAAGGGAAAAAGAGAAACTACAGTGAAGAAACCTGGCAGACCCCACCACAGCCACATGATCAAGGTCAGCATCACCAGTGATTAACCATGTTGATACCATGTGCCCCCTTATACAGTGCCATCAGTAGGGCAGATCACCTCTCTTGTATTCTCCCAAAAAAATACAGCCTCCATAATCTCAAGTCTAATCACAAGAACATGACAGACAAACCCAAGTGGAGGTACATTCTACAAAATACCTGACCAGTGCTTTTCAAACCTCTCTAGGTCATAAAAAAAAAACAAGGCAAGACTAAGAAACTTTCATGCGCCAGAGGAGACTAAAGGTGCATGATGACTAAAAGCAGTGTGGTATCCTGGATTCGATCTTGGAACAGAAAGTGGATAGTAGTGGAAAAACAGGTGAAATCCTAATTAAGTTTGTAATTTAGTGAACTTCTTAGTTTTGACAAATGCAGCATGATCACATTTGTCCCCTGCTAACATTAGGGGAAGCTGGGTGAATGGTATAAGAGAATTCTATTATCTTTGAACTTTTCTGTAAATCTAAAATCATTTCAACATAAAGTTTGACTTCATCAAGATTAGAAACTTAAGCACATCCACAGACATTGTTCAAGAGAATGAAAACACAACCCACAGAATGGGCGAATGTATTTGCAAATCCTATATCTGATAAGAGATTAACACCCAGAATATATAAAGAGCTCCTACAACAGCACAGAAAAACTCCATTCACAAAGGGACAAAAGACTTGAACAGATGAAAATATCAAGTGTTGGTGAGGATGTAGAGAAACTGGAAACTGGGTGCACTGCTGATGGGAATGTAAACGGCGCAGCTGCTGTGGAACACAGTACGGAGGTTCCTCAGAAAAGTAAATCTAAAACTACCATATGGTCCAGCAACCCCACTCCTGGGTGTTTATCCAAATGAATTGAAAGCAGGGAATCAAACAGATACTTGCATACCAGTTTTCTTAGCAGCATTCTTCACAACATCCAAAACAACCAGCAGGTGGAAGCAGCCCAGGTGGCCATCAACAGATGAATGTATATGCCTTACATACATGCATACGCACTTATGTGTCTAGCCATAAAAAGGAATGAAATTCCAATGCATTCTACAACTTAGATGAACCTTTAAAGCATTATGTTAAGTGAAATAGGCCAAACACAAAAGGACACATATGACTCTACTTATATGAGGCACCAAAAGTAGGCAGAAAGTAGACTGGCAGTTGTAGGGCAGGTGGGAAGTTATCGATTGTTGTTTAGCAAAGTCCAGAGTTTCTGTTTGGGATGATGAAAAGGTTCTGGAAATAGTGGTGATGACTGCAACAGCATCATGAATGTACTTTGTGGTAAAATAAAAATGACTTAAAAACATACAAAAATAGATGTTAATTTTTTAAGTTTTCGTGTTTTTTAAAAATTTTTAAAAAATGTTTATTTATTGAGAGAGAGACAGAGACAGAGTGTGAGCAGGGGAGGGGCAGAGAGAGAGAGAGAGGGAGACACAGAATCCGAAGCAGGCTCCAGGCTCTGAGCTGTCAGCACAGAGCCCGACGGGGGGCTTGAACCCATGAACCATGAGATCATGACCTGAGCCGAAGTCAGACACTTAACTGACTGAGCCACCCAAGCGCCCCCTACAAAAGTAAATTTTGAACGTTTATTTTTAAATGGCCTATCCAGTGTAGGTTTTTTTTCAGTTTATTTATTTACTTAAGTCATCACTACATCCAACATGGGGCTTGAACTCACGACCCCAAGATGAAGAGTCACACGTTTTTCCGACTGAGCCAGCCAGGTGCCCCCTATCTGGTGTGGTTTTAATTTCCATCCTTCATTATGAGATAGAGCACCTTTTCAAATATAAATCATCTGTATTTCTTTTCTGTGAATTCTGTTCCTCTTTCTCTTCCCATACTCTTTCCCAGTTAGTTTGTCCTGACTTGACTCATGATGGTTTTCTTTTCCAGGCAGAAGTGTTTTATTTTTATATAGTCAACTTTAATCATCTTCTATGGCTTCCGGATTTGGGTCATAGTTTTCCCCATTTCAGGATTATCTAGAAATCATCTCATGTTTTCTTCTACTTTTATGGTTTCAATTCTTCCATTTAAATTTTTTACCCATTTTATTTTTATCATTATTGTTTTTACCGTGGGACAGTGCATTTCTTTTCACATTTTCCTGATTTTTAAAATTTTTTAAAAGACATTTTTTAACGTTTATTTGTTTTTGAGAGAGAAAGAGAGAGAGCAGGGGAAGGGCAGAGAGAGAGGGAAACCAGAATCCGAAGCAGGCTCCAGGCTCCGAGCTGTCAGCACAGAGCCTGACGTGGGCTCGAACCCATGGACCGCAAGATCATGACCTGAGCTAAAGTCGGATACTTAACTAACTGAGCCACCCAGGCGACCCTTTAAATTTTTTTTCATCATGAGAAGCGTACTCTTTAATCCCCACCCCTTATTCCCCCCCCCCCCTCCTGTAACCATCAGTTTGTTCTCTATAGTTAAGAGTCTGTTTCTTGCTTGGTCTCTCTTTGTTCCCTTTGCTTGTTTGATTTGTTTCTTAAATTCCACATGTGAATGAAATTATATGATATTTGTCTTTCTCTGACTGACTTATTTTGC